GGACGGGGGTCTTCGTTTTAGTGGCAGCGTGGCAGCCATCTCATCACTGCCCCCCCCCAAAAAAAAAGTTGGTGGGAGACTCCGGGCTGCAGCTGCTCAGCTCAGAACCCCCCACCCCCACCCCGCTGGCCTCTGCAGAGGGAAAGCAGCTGGGCCAGTCTGGCCAGTTTCTCTCCTGGGTGCTGACCTAGGCACACTGGCTCGGGACCAGCCTGGCTGGAGGTGGGAGCGAGCGGGGCAGGCATAGGTGTTGCAAACCACACCTCCGGGAGGCGGCTGCCCTCGCCCAGCAGGGCCAGGGACCACGGTGAAATGGCCCGTGCTGACGGGACACAGAGGCACCCCGCGCCGTCATCTGTCCCGGAATGCGTGGTTCTGGCTGGTGGGCGGACAGCTGCCCTACACGTCTGGCCAAGGATTTGAGTCCAATCAATGGCGCTGTGTGTAGGGCGTCCGCGTGCCAGCGCCGAATCGCAATGCGCCCATTTCACAGAAAGGGAGTGCTTGTCCTCCCTCCGGGGCTCTGCCGCCTCCTCCCCCCTTCCCTCCATCTACTCTGGGAACAAGCGGCTGATCCTTGGCTGCCTGATAGAACCCAGCCAGTTGCACGGAAAACAATCATTTGCATCTGTGAGTTAGCAATGTATTAGCCTCCCCCTACAGGTCTGCTATCACCATCAAACGTCTCCACGCCACACAGGTCCACACGGGTCGGGGGCAAACTACAGGCGCCTCTGCCCTTTGACCTCGGGGCTCGGCTGCCGGCCGTGGCCAGTCTGAGTACCCAGTGCTGCTCCTCCTGATGGCAAGGCTGCCTCAGCGACTGTGCTGGCCAGCATTGATGAAGTACCCACAATGTGCCAGACCCTGACAACCCAGGAAGCCCCTATAATTGTGCCATCAGTGGGCTCCGTGCCCTCCCTTGCCTCCTTTTGTGGATGGAGAAACTGAGGTTCACTGTGATAACCTAACTTGCCCAGGGCGCCATAACAGAGCCATGATTCAACTCCACCTGTGCTTCACCTGCTGTGCCCACCCACACAAGATGCTCACGGCCACACGGGGCCCCCAAAGCGTTGGCAAAGGACCCTGTGGGGCTACTTCCCAGGTTCCCAGGGACTCTGTCGACAGGGGCCTCCAGGGATCTAAGTAGACAGAAGTCATGTGTCGTTAGCAAATTCATTCTTTGAACTGCAAGAGTAGAACTCCCCCAGAAACCTGCTTGGTTGTTAAAAAAAGAAGAAAGAGCCAAAGTCTGCACCTGGCCTTACCCGACCAGTGCTCCGGCTTCCTTATGACGGCACCACCACCGGTCAGGGCAGAGTCTAAGCTGGGAGACATCACGCCAGCCCCTCTTGTCCCAGCTCCCTGCTCTGGAGCCGTCCCTCACCCCCACCCCGCACATCACTGGCTGCCGCCTTGCCTGTGTGTTGTGCTCTTTTTTCTTTTTTAAATAACCACAGCGGGCTCAAGGGAGACAGCTGGTCTTTGCTGCATTCGAGATGGCTTTTCTGGGCGGCGGGCATCTCCCCACCTTCTTGGTTTTGACGCGACACCTGCATCCCATGCCGGCAGCCATGGGGTCTCCATGCCAGCTGCAGGAAGCAACAAACTGTGACCCACTGGGTGCACAAACCTTTGTGAAACACCTACCATGTGCAGAGCACTGCTGGGCCCAGTGCTGCTAAGGGTGAAAGACGCAGACCTGCCACGCGGCAGTTGTCCAGGGGCCGAGTGCTGCGCCCCTGGCATTATCTCATGTCTCCAAGGAGCAGCCACCTTACAGCCTTTCTGGGAGCAAGATGGTGTTCCAGACACTGTCCCCTGTACTAATTCATCTCGTCCTGATCTCAACCTCACAGCTTAGGTACCCCCCCCATAGCTGGGGACACGGAGGTTCAGACAGAGTGGGCAGATCCAACTCCCACATACCAAGGTCCCTCAGCTGGACAGGGGGAGAGCTGGGAGCTGAAGTGGCCACATTGACCTTCCTTGTGGGGCCGTGGCCCTAAGGGGCTTCCATGAAGACCTGAAAGGTGCTGGGGACTAGAGCCCAGTACTCCTGAATCCAGACACAGCAAGCGCCCCGGGGAAGTGCTGGTTGGACCAAGGTCCCTGACTCCCAGGCCGATGGTCTTCCCAACACCTCACCAGGCCCTGCACCCAAACCCCTCAGCCACACCATGGCAGACTCAGACCCCGGCTTGGCAAGCGACCCTCTGCTGTGCAGCTGAACTCAGCTGGCTGCTGAGGCTATCCAAGGGACCCAGCACGAGAGAAGGCGAGGACGGATGTTGCCCTTGGGCTCTGGGGCAGCCCTGCCCGTCCGTCGTCTGCATATTCCTTGGGAACTGGACTGGCCGCACCTGCACCACTGCCTGGGGCTGCTCATGTCGAGTCAGCTGTGTGGCCTGGCTTTGCCCTGCTACCCACCGCCACTGTGCCCCAGGTCTGTGGCCAGGCCAGTTGTCCCCACGGCCCCCAGCAGCCCACAGCCCATCCTGAGCTCACTTCTTTGTCCTCCTTATCCCTGCCAATGCTCCCCTCGAAAACCTGGCTCTGAATTCTTTAATCAAAGAAACGACCTGGAAATGGTCCAAGGAACACTCACAGAGGGAAGGCCAAGTGCGTGGGTTCACAGCAAGATGCAGAGGTGGACGGTCCCACTCGAGGCACGGGGCACAGCACAACCTCTGATGTGACGCAGGGGGAGGGAGGCTGTCCATCGCCCTGGCCCAGACCTCCTGCCTGGGAAGAGGCCCTGAGGGGTTGTCCTCAACATGCTGCCAGCAGCTGGGTGGAGGGTAGGGGTCCACGGCCCCCTCAGTTTCCTGACTCCACCCAATGCTGCAAAATTCTTTCTAACAATAACGAGGGCAACAAAAGGAGCTCCCTCCTCAGAACTCACTCTGAAGTCACCTGGGCCCGACCCTGGCCACCCCTCCTGTCACTGCTGGAGCCACCGGGCATCTCCCAGGGAGGCTGTGGCTGGTGGGAGGGCAACCAGAGGTGCTCAATCTGCTGCCCCTCTCCTGGGGGTGAGGGTGGGCAACTTCTCCCCAGTCCCCTCCTCGCCCGCGAACAGGAATGCACACATCTCTCCCTCGTCCACTCTCTCACACACCCACACTCCCATGGCTGTCACACGTGCTCCCCCAGTGTTCTGTAACCAGGGCAGTGCCAGGCCCATGGGGTGGGATGGGTTAGACCCTTTCCCAACACTGGCTAACCTCTGGAGTTCATGCTAACCCTAGATCCGAACTTCTGCTCTGAGCAAACTTCCTGGGGCCTGGCCGAGGATGTCCAGAGTGAGAGCTAAGCAGCTCGGAACCTTTCCTGGTAAAAGCAAACAAAACACAGCCTCAGCTCGGCATGCTTGGGGTGCGATTTCATCTCCTTCACTCGCTGGCCCTTGGACCTCGACCTTGAACTTGGCCTTTCTGTTCCTCCGGCTTAATTGCTACTTCTAGCCCATTATGAGGACAAATGACTTAATATTTGCAAAGCAGGTACAACAGTGCCCAGCAAAATTGTACCTGCTCTAGAAATACAAGAAAACAAGCAACTGTTTAATAGAAACCAGCATGAGCTGCTCACTCAGAGCCCCTCGTCACCGGGCAATTACTGGGTACCCTGACCTACCACGCCACACACAGGGTACACAGCCCACCGGTGAGCCACGCCACCACAAAAGGAAAAGGCTCATTATCTTTTAGGATCAACACAATAATCCTAAACAAAGGTTCACACAGTTCCATGAAAGGCCAGAGGAGAAGGAACATTGGGTGTATTTCCACGTCAACAAAACCAACTGAATCCATTTGAAAGAATGAACTTGGTCTAACTGGTTTGTGCATTTAGACCGGGGCTCAGCACACACAGCCTTTTGGAGAATATTCTCCGTCTGTGACATTTATTCAGGCTCTTGGGTGGTTCTCCCTCTGTCTCCTCCCCCAGGCCTCTGATCACCCAGAAAACAATCTCCGGGTTCACCCCTGGCTCTCTGCGAATGGGTGTGGGGGCCAATAGGGCTCGAGAAGACCCTCAGCCACTTCGCAAACAACTTATGGGGAGCCTCTCAGGGGGACGGCGGCGGTTGCCATGCTCAATCCGGGTGGCTTAACTCAAGCCACGCCGCCGCGAGTGGGCTTATGCACAGGCGGTTTAATAACTGATGGAAGATAAATTCAGTCTGTCTGTACCCTTCCCCCAAATCCACTCCAGGCTTTTGGATGCAAATGCTTTTGAACGCCCTGTGCCCAGCCCAGGTGGCGTCTCCGTGGGCGGCTCAGGCTGTCCACGCCGGCGCTGCGGGGGGTTCCTGCGACCCCGACGAGGCCCACCCAGCCCTCCGGCCGGCCGGCTACCGCCGACGCACGGACACCCAGCAAGCCGGGAAGCGCTAGGCTGGGGCCGGCGGCGACCTCCATCACGCAGCGGCCCCCAGCCACCCCGGAACTTCATCCGGTACACGCCAGGCGTGCGGCCCGGCGACTTCCAAAACTCCGGGCGCCGAGCCGCGCCCCAGACCCCGAGCAGGGGCGACCGGCCGCGCCAGCGGGCACTGCTTGGGCCGAGGCTCAGAGCGCGGGCGCTGCCACCACCGCCGCCAGGCGCATCGCCTTCTCCCGGATCGCGCGGTGGGGCCGGGGCGAGGGGGCGAAGGCGGCAGTCACGTCCCCGGACTGGAGGAAGGGACCAGACCGGGAGCAGCCAAGAGAGCGCTGGGGCGGGCGAGGAACCTGGGCCGGGGTCTGCAGGGCAGCGGCGGGGGTGCACCCCGCTTCGGCCCTAGAGCTGGTTCCCTGTTTCCCGGGTGGGCGGACCCCTCCTCCCCAGCGCGTCCGCAGCTCCGCCACACGCTCGCTTTCTGTCGCCCGAGTTCTCTCCTTACCCCAACCCCCAGCCCCGGCTCCAGAGGTCCAGGGCCGGGCTGCCCCCTTAAACCCCCGACCCGCGGCCGCGCAGCCCGGGCCCGTCCCGCGCCAGCCCGCTCTTACCTTGACCAGCGGGAGCTGCGGGCGCCGTCCCATCCTCGGGCTCGCTCCGTCACCGTCCTGGCTGCCTGGGTCCCGCGGGCATCCCCGAGGCGCCGGCCGGGGGTGGGGGGCTCGTGCGGCTCGGGGTGGGTGGCGGGGCTTCTCGGGCGCCGCCCGCGCTCCCAGCCCCGCAGCCCGGCCCGGCGCGGCGGGCTCTCGCTCGCCCCTTCCCCGGGCGGGTCTGGCCGCCGTCTCCTTCCCGCCCCCGCCGCCTGCCCCGCGGCTCCCCGCCCCCTCCCCTCCCCGCGGCCCCTCCTCCGCGCCCCGCCTCCCCAGCCCCGCCGGCCCCCTTTCCCCGCGCCCCGGGTTGCGGCAGTCCGCGGGGCGCGCGGGCAGCGGCGGCGGCCGCCGCAGCCCGGGGGAGCCGGGAGGGGGTGGGAGGCGGCGGGAGAGGGGGCGGCCTCTGCCTCCCGCCCGGCCTGGGGTCCGGTCCAAGGGAGTCCAAGGACTCGGGGGGGGGGGATCTGAGGGGCCCAGGTGAATTCACGCGAGCGAGGCTGGTGGGGGCTGGGGCGATCCGACTGAGCGCAGCCGCCGCGGGAGCCGGGAGAAGCCGAGGTCTGCGTTTGGGCAGTTCCCGCCCGGCGGCCGGCCCGGAGGTCCTCGCCCCCCCCCCCCCCCCTTCAGCCACCACGGACCCCGGCCAGCGTTCTGCTTTGACACCAAGTCCTGCAGAAGGAGCCCTTATTTATTCATTCGTTCTCTCGCTCGCTCAGTCATTTTACAAACTTCGCCCCTTGCCTGGACCTAGGAAGCCTAAGAGGAAGGGGAGGTGGTGGTGCCAGGCAGGACTGGCGGGCACCAGAGCGCGGCCGTGGGGCCGCGGGAAGGCGGCTGGGCACCCCGCGTCCCGGCGCAGAGGAGGCCACAGCGCCCCCTGTCGGCCGCGGCCCCAGGGTAGGGGTCGGCTGCCGAGCCGGAGCCCGGGGTCTCGCTCCGGTTGGCTCTGCAGCTCGCAGCCCAGCTCAGCTCCGGAATGAGCTCCCTAGGTGGTCAGAACTCCTGACTTCCTCGTCGCTCTTCCTCCTCCCGCCAGAGCTGGAAAGGCAGAAATAAGGAAACCTCTCCGGGCTGCAGACCCCAGGCCCCCCGCGCCCCGGGCAGCTCCCCGCCCGCTCCAGAGCCCGCCGCAGGGGACTGTCGGCCTGAGCCCGCTCCCTCTCACTCCCTTCTCAGCACAGCGTGGCGTCGCCGCTGCGTTCAGGGGTCCGACTGCGTTGGCGTGGGGCTGGAGTTCTCGAAGGAGGCCGTGTGATCCCACGCACACGGTTCACGGGCCGGAAACCGAGCGCCCAGAAGGGTGACTGTCCACAGCCCCACGGCTGCCATGCCTAGTCCTCCCCTGGCGTTCGGGGCACTGCCCAACCACACAGCCCGCACTTTCCAGGCGAAGCCCACCACAGTCCTGTATCTTACAAAACCCCCTTAGGTTAGTGCCCCAGAGCTGGTCGTGCTGAGTCAGGCGCTGAGTCACCACCACCAATCCCAGAACAGGTGCCCCTACCTACCAGAAAGCCAGCTGACTGTTCTCAGCCAAAAGCAAAGGGAGCCGGCTGGAGTGCACCTTCTGGAGTCAGACGCCTGGATTTGGGTCTCAGCTCTCTGGAAGAGCATCTGACAGTGCCTCAACTTTCTCATCTGTAAAATGGGGGCTCATTGGGGATTTGAATAAGTTTAAGTGAGTTGACTACCCCCCCATGAGATTTATTTATTTATTTATTTATATACTTGAAAGGGAGGGAGGGAGAGGGAGAGAGGGAGAGTTTTTCCATCCATGGTTCACTCCCCATATGGCCACAACGCCCAGGTTCGGCTGAAGCCAGGAACCAGGAACTCCATCCTGGTCTCCCACTTGGGCTACCTTCCTCTACCCTCCCCAGACACATTAGCGGGAAGTTGGATTGGAAGTGGAGTAGCTGGGACTCAGGACTCCAACTGGCGTCCTGATTTGGGCTGTCAGCACAGCCGGCGGCAGCTTACGCCTATGCACCACGATGCTGGCTGTGAGTTGATATTTGTAGAGCTCAAAGCAAGAGCCTCATGCAGAATCTGTACACTCACCGTCACCATCGTTCTCACGGGGGGCTGGGTCACACACTACCGTGCTGGGGGCAGCGTGGTTGGTCTCCCGAGGAGGATTTGTGATGAGCAGGTGGACGGTGGAATCAGGGGAGAGAAAGCCTGGTTCCCCAGCCCCACCTTGGAGCCCCGTTCCCAGGGACCAGTCGGCCCCAGGATCTGAATTTCTCTTAGATTCTGTGTTTCTGTCTGCTTCATTAACACCAGCAGATTTTGCCTCGGCGAGCTCCGTTGTCCTCCCCTTGACTTGATCTTTAAATATGCTAATGCCATCGATTCGGCTGTAATCAAGTCTTGCTCTTCCTGCCTTCTTGGCCTGGGAGCACGCCCTTCTCTCCTCCTGAAGTGGTGTCAACAGAGAGCGCATTTTATCCTGCCTGTGTTGATTTCAGAGGTGGAGAGGAGGGCGGTGGGGGGAGGGGGCTTCTGCCTCACTCCACAACCTGCTTCTGTATAGCTTTGGCCTTGACCGCCCCTGGGGAGTCAGGGGAGCCTCCTGTTTCACACCGCCTCTGGAAAAGCTTCACTATTCCCTTGCATTTGTCCTGAAACCATCTCCTTTCCCCTTCAAGGACCCTGCTGGGGCCTGAGGATGCCAGCGTCTGCCCCTCGGCCCTCGGCAGCCCGGACCTGAGCAGCTCTTCCAGCCCCGCCCCTCCTTTGTGGTCTCTTCCTGCCTGGACCCAGGCCACAGTCAGCTGCCTTTCATTTAACCCATCAGCTTGGGAAGAACGGAGACAAGTGAGGAATCCAAACAGGAATGAGAGAGGCACTCACGTCTTTCCAGACAGCCGGAGAGAAGACTGGAGAGATCGTGGTGGCCGGGCCCCACATACGTACCTGCTCCGGGTCCTGCTGGCTGGGCCATCAGCAGCCTGGTGCTGACTGATACTCGGGAACTGGGCTTCTCAGGCTACTAGGGACACAGACGCTGCTCTTTATTCTGAAATCTTGTTTTAAAGTGCTGTGATCTGTGATATCTGTTTCTTCTTTTTTTTTTCAGATTTATTTGAAAGTCAGAGTTACACAGAGAAAGAAGGAGAGGCAGAGAGAGAGAGATCTTCCATCTGCTGATTCACCCCCTACTTGGCCAAAACTGCTGGAGCTGTGCTAATCAGGAGGCAGGAGCTTCTGGGTCTTCCATGCGGGTGCAGGGCCCAAGCACTTGGGCCATCTTCCACTGCTTTCCCAGGCCATAGCAGAGAGCTGGATCCAAAGCGGAGCAGCTAGGACTCGAACTGGCACCCATATGGGATGCCAGCATTGCAGGTGGTGGCTTTACCTGCTATGCCATAGCACTGGCTCTCATTCTTCAATTTCTAGTCTGTTGCAGAGTGATACAACCGCAAAATACAGTGGGAATGAATTACTAGAAAAATGAAATAATAAAGACATACAAGACCAAAAAAAGCCCAGTGCAAAAACCCTGGTAGAGCCAATGGACATAAAACTACTCTGCCAAATTGCTCGAAGTGTCCTAAATGCTCACTCTCAATTTCTGCACCTTGTCACCCTGACTGACAGCAGATGGTTTGCAGACACAGGCCCGTGTGTAGACCAGGCTTGGGATAGCACTGAGCTACAACGCTTCTGGAGAATGAGGCCTGGAAAATGACCCTGTGTAGGGAGCAGCTTTTAAAATCCCTCCACCGTGGGATGATACGGTGTTAATTGCTTCATTGGTTTGTGCAGCCATTCAACAAACACTGAATGAGTAGCAACTACATGCCAGTCACTGTTGGACCCCGTGGTTAATGAAGATGAATGTAACAGACTTCTAGCCCTCAAGATGTTCACAGCCCGGGAGGGGAAGCAGTTGCTTTGATAAATAATTAAAAGCTAGTGAGAAATTAGGTCAAAAACAGAGCAGGCACTGTGAGCATGGAGGCAGCAGGATGAATTCTGCCCGGGGCCAGCAGGAAAGGTTCTGTCAAGGGGGCGATGCTTGCTCGGGGGTCTGCAGGCAGGCAGCTGTGGGGCCGCTCTCACTAAGTGAACTAAAATGTATCATATGCTTTGCACTGTGCCTGGCACTAGCTACTTGTATTACTAAACATTATCAATGATCATCATTGTCATCATTATCAACTGCTTAGCTCTGCCCTGCACCATGCTCCACTGTGGCATGGGGTTGTAGGCATCACCACAGGAGCTTAGTGGAGGAAAGGGACCCCACCACTGTGTCAGGGGCAAGATTTTTCTAGAAGAGGTGGATGTGGAGTTGGATAGTGAAGGAAGCTGATGTGGACAGGTGAGCGGGACACTCGAGGCAGGCACAGCCCAAGGAACAGGTGCAGGGCAGCGGAGGAGACTGGGCAAGGCTGGACAGAATCATAGCGGGGGTGGCTGTGGATTTTCTGGGTCGCTGGGATGGCACGGCTCTTTCCGGTTCAGTCCTTGTAAGAACAACCCCCCATCACACACACACACACACACACACGCACGCACACCATGACCCAGGCTTTCCTTCACAGCCTCACCATTCACATGAGAAAGCTGAGCTCAGAGGGGGAGACCTTGCACGACATCAGGACATCACATAGCTGGCTCTGGTACAGGACCTCACCCGGAGGAGGTCCTGCTCCAGGAAGGTGGGCAGGACGAGTCTCCCCCTTCCCCTTTCCCCAGGGATGGGCACAAATGAAGAAGAGAGACAGTGCCAGGGCAGAGTTTGGCAGTGGTAGCAGGAGAAGGCGTGGCTCAGCCAGAGGACTCCCCAGGTGACCTGCAAACTCCTCCCTTCCCGTCCCCCAAGTCTCAGTCCTGTCAGTTATCTGCCAAGGGCAAGTGTCCTTACCCTGGGCACGATTACCATATTTTTGCATTTATTAAGTGTGGTCAAAAGTACTATTGAAGCTTGTTGGGGATGGTGGCACTGGGGTGTGTGTGTTCGCAACAAAACTTTTACAATTAAGACACACTGAAGGAAGAAGG